GTAGCTGGAACTATAGGTGCATGCCACAACGCTTGGCTATTTTTTTGCTGTTGTTTAGCAAGCCTGGACTAGGTTCAAACCCACGGGAGCATGTAGCCAGCACCCTAACCACTGAACTCTGGGCACCCAGCCACATGCTGTGCTGCTGACCGAGTTGCAGGTTCTCCACACTGACTTCCTGAAACAGCGAGCACTGCCTCCCACCACACGCTGGACTTGTGCGTGAGCAATGCTGTGCCCCACCTGTGGCCACTTTGGTGACAAATATGGACCTGTAGGTCAGCACAGGTAAAGCCTCAAACCCTTAGTCATGTGGCATGGGGTGGGAGCTTCTGATCCTGAAGGACCCTTTCCTGCAAGTCTGAGCCAGGAGTGCCTCCACCTCCCGGATCCTCAGTTTCTCCGTCTGTAAAGTGGGAATAACAGGACCATGATGACGAAATGGGAGCTCAGTCAGGACCTGGCACGTAGGGAGTACTCCATCCACAGATGGCCCTGTTCCTTGGCCAAGCAGTGGAGAGGGGCCAGACCAGAGATGCGGCAGCTCAGCTGGCAGCTGCTTAGAGGGGTCTGCAGCACTTTCTCCAGATAAGTCGGTCATAGGGCTGAGGTTTGCTGACACCAGAGCTATGTGAGCTAGAGGCAAGCCAGTAGCAATGATTAAAAATATCACACTGTGACTGCAAAGACAATAGGAAATGGCTCGTCCACTGGTTACAGTAAGGACAAAGGCAAATGTACAATTAGGGGACAGACGGAAGATGTGTTGGATCTTGTGACGGGTGGGATTTTTCTTTTTCAGATTAATATGAGGATGTTTTCTTTAACCTTTCTAAGTTTTAAAAGTAGATCTGGATAGATCGGTTTACAAGAGACGTGGTTCCACTTCCTGGAGAGAGCTCCTTTTGTCCCCTCTCTGAGTGAACAACAGTTGTAGAGTCCCCTCTAACATGCTGGTGGAGATCACAGGTGAACAGCATCCATTACCTTTAGCCAAGATGAAATAAGGACCTACTGTGCGTGTGCCAAGAGCTCCCCACTCAGCACATGGACAGGACCTCAATGTTCCTGGTTCTGTGACTGTGTGGTGCCCCTAGGTACACTGCCTTCCCCCACCCGAGTTCACTGAGCACCCAGCACCAGCCGGGCCTGCACCGAGCACTTGGGGTATAACCTGTGTCTCTTTCTCATTCAGCAAGTTTCCATTCAGTCCCTCCTAAGTGCCAGGACCCATCCCTGGCTCTGGAACCCAGAGGTAGAGCAGGTCGCTGCCCTCCTGGACTTGGTCATTCTATTAAAGACAGCAGACGGCTCGGCGCCTATAGCTCAACCGGCTAAGGCGCCAGCCACGTACACCTAAGGTGGCGGGTTCGATTCCCCAGCCCGGACCTGCCAAAACAACAATGACGGCTGCAACCAAAAAATAGCCGGGCGTTGTTGCGGGTGCCTGTGGTCCCAGCTACTTGGGAGGCGGAGGCAGGAGACTCGCTTGAGCCCAGGAGTTGGAGGTTGCTGTGAGCTGTAATGCCACAGCACTCTACCCAGGGGGACAGCTTGAGGCTCTGTCTCAAAAAAAAAAAAAAAACAGCAGACAGCAAACAGACAGGAGTACATGCCAATTCCAGACAGGGTCACATGCAAAGAGGACTCTATGACAAGAGGATCTTCTAGCAAGAGAGAAAGCAGTGGGTGGAGGTGGGCCTCATTCAGTGGGGGTGGAAAGGGTGTCCCTGGGAGGTGACTCTGCTGAGGCCTGCGTCCCATGAAGGAGCCACCGTGTGACGAGCCCAGAGCAGGTGCTTCTGGCAAATGCCAGGGCCCTGAGCAGACAACACGTGTGAGTACATGGTATTGTCATGAGCCCTTTCTCTGGAGACCAGAAACCTAGTTGTGGTGTTGAGGTTGAGGACAGTGGGGGTAGGGTGGAGAAGCCTTGCTGAGGGCCTCTTGCAGGCTATGGAAAAGGGTTGAATTTGCCTCCAGTACTCCCTAGAGTAGTGAAGGGCTAAACAATTCTTTTCATGTGGATTCATCACAAAACAGATGTTCCTCTTGAATTTCATATATGAGACAACTGTTGCCAACACCCATGAAACAAGAACATCTGTAAATCCAGGCAGGACTCCCAGGAGGGTCTGTGAAATGTCAGAGCTGGTTCAACCATCTTGTTTACATCTGAGAAAACTGGCAGCACCCCGGGTGGTGGTGAGGGCTTTCTAAATAGAGGGGGCTAAGGCTGGGCCTCCAGGCTCCTCACCCAACTCATCTTCTTCCTCTGCCCATGTCAGCTTCAGCTGATGGCATGTCTAAATGTCTGAATTTTCTAGGTTGGTGCGGCCTAGTGAGGCCATCCAATCCTAAATAGAATGCACTGCTATGAAAACTGGACCCAGGACGTTCATCATCAAGTTTAGTTCCAATCAAGTGAAAGAGATTCGTGCTCAGAGGATTATTCTCACCGACTAGTCTCTGCCTGATGCTGTGAACCCAGCAGCGGGAGTGACTGGTTGAGCATTTCAGCATGTCCTGTTCTGCATGTAGGTTCAGATCATGGGTGATTAGATTTGATTGCTCACATGAGGGCAGACTGAAGAGCCAGCAGGTGAAAGGTAAGGAGTTCAAAGGCCAGTGCAAACCACAGGCAGCCAGACCCAGGAGGCCAGGTCTTATGTTATCACTTTTACAACTGGAAACACACAGCCTAAGACAAGCAATCCTCAACCCCCAACCCCTTCCTGACTCATGGCCTCAAAAAGCAGGGCCACTATTGTCTAGATTCAAATCCACAGACATCCAAAGTTACTGGCTACAGGAAGCCCAGGGCCATTCACATGATGGAGCCCTGTGAGAAGCTGCCATCCCTTCAGGCTATGGGCTCACCCTAGTCTGATCTGCCAATCAGACTATTATCTCAGCATAGGGTTGGGCCTCCTGCAAGTGTATTCTCCTTCTGTCTCCTGCCTAAAATCCCAAGAGTCCCTCTCCTGGTGCTCCTTGCCCACTCTCCTCGGCTGCCTATGGGGGACCTAGTCTGAGGAACAACAGGTGTACTAGTGGCCTTCTCTGTGACATCTGCATACATTGATCCCATGGCTGGTCCTGCCTACTGAGCCGGAAGCAGGACTGACAGCCATCTGACATTGGGTTGGCCTGTCTCCTACAACTTCATGTAGCTTGAAACTGTGGCCCCATAAGCCCACTCCATGGCCCCCGTGCTTCCCCAGATCTAGGTGAGCCTTCAAGGCAGTTCAGTAGGGATTCAGTCTCCCAAGTACGAGATCTGTAGACACTATCTGATAGTGGGTGACCCAGTAGCCCCTCTGACCTGCCAGCAATGGTGTTGCTGAGTTAAGATCCTGAGGCTTCAAAGAGAACAATGCAGAGAGGGAAGAGAGGAGGAGGGTCACAGCCCTCCTGGTGATGGTAGCTTGCCACCACAGGGATGCTCAGTCGGTACACTGCCCCAGTGCCACCCCTCCATACTGGCCTTGAAACGTCTTCATTTGGGTCCCAGCAGACATTCACTCTCACCCTCCAGTACCAGAAACATCCCTGCTCCTCCAGGCAGCATTCAATCTCCACTGGCTATCTCTGTACCCCAAAGGTCAGCAAGGAAGAAACAAAGGTCCTCAAACCAGCAGGACCTTTGGGGTACAGAGATAGCCAGTGGAGATTGAATGCTGCCTGGAGGAGCAGGGATGGGGCATCCACTTGAGAACCATCTTGGATATGGGCCTCGGGCCAGTTTGTGAATTTGCTGAACCTGTTGTTTCAATTCTTCCCTCAATTTTAGCCTGCTCACTGCCAAGGAGTAAAATCTACCCCAGCAGCCTTACCTCCAGCCCACCATTACCTAGTAGTGACGCTGGCTGCCTTTGACCCTGTGGGCCTCTACCTTGGGGAGGGGGTGGGGAAGTCAGACCAGCCACAGACTGACTTGGGCCAGTCAAGGAGAAGGGTTTAAACAAAGGTCCTCCTTCCTGACCTTTGGGGTACAGAAGATAACCCCAAGGGGTGCACCACTGGAAGCCTCTGGCCTTGGCTACTGCCTCATCTCACCAGTACAGGTGGACCCCATGAGGCCCTGCAGGAGACCTCCCCAGCCAGGAGACAGACCCTCCCTCTCCTGAGGCTCCGCTCTCTCAGCGGGGGCAGGTGCCTGGGGCTGACCAGCAGGCAAGCTCTGAGCAGGTGGAGAGGCCCCACTGACTGCTTCCCCTTCCTGTGAGTAGGGGGTCTGTGCCAGGGGTATGTCAACCTGGGGAAGAGCCTCCTTGAGCAAGAGAAAGCCCTTCTATGTTAACTGAAGCCCATTCCTTTGGTTCTGCCCTCCAGAGATTTGCTCACATGATCAATGTGCTTTTAATTAAACTTTGACTACGTTGAGATGACTATGTGGTCTTCTGAGTCCTTTTTTCTTTATGCCAACAAGCTTCTTAAAGTACCCTGTGGTGGGATGGGTCATGTGGTCACAAGGAGCTGTCCCATTCTCAGATCTTCCCACCTCCAAGAGGTTGGCTCCTTTGTTCTGCCTGTTCAGGACATCCAGCTCCTCGCGAAGGCTATAACCTCAGTTGGACACACCCTGGCAGAGGCACAGATGTAGCAAGAATCAGGGTAATTTTGTGTGACACTCACATTCACCTACACTTAAGGGTGAAACACCTGTCATCCTCCCTCTTTCAGGCTCTCCACCTCAAAAAAGCTCAACCCTACTTACCCTTTCCCCAAATGCCCACCTCCCTGGCACACAGTACATATTCAGTTAATTCTTATTGAATGAAGGGTGATTCAGTTTCCTGTGAGGGGGGTGACCCACTGTAGCACTGTCCACCTGAGAGGCAGTCATGCCTGCACAACACTGTCCTGTCTCCCACACCATGAATGAAGAAAGTCTCTCCTAGAAATGCTCTCAAGGTGCCCCAAGAAGGATGCTGCCCAAAGGTCTGGACTGAGATCTCCTGATGAGAACAGAAGACTCTAGACATTAAGGTTGAGCAAAGAGCTTTTTATTCAAACAAAGAGGCGAAGGTTTGCACCCAGCCTCCTTCCCTACCAGTCTTCATCTTGTTTTGACATCAGTTGCAGTACTTGCAGTTTAAGGCTAAGCAGAAGAATGTTATGCTGTCAACAGCTGCCACAGAAAGAAGGCCACTGTGTCACTGGCATGGGGGGACAGGGCTCAGGATATTGGACTGGTTATTACCCACTTAACCCCAGCTGAGATCCAGTTCAGTGCCTCCTGGAACAGGACTGATGGATGTGGCTGAGGTCTAGCATGGAGGTGGGGTTGGTGCAAGGAGAGGCACAGTCCACCTCTCTACCCCAACTTTCCATGCTACAGCAGCCAGTCTGAAAACAGGATTGGCTTTGGGGCTGGTCAGTACTTCTGCTTTCAGGCCAAGCTGGCCCCTAGGAGGAGCAGTTTTAACCCAATGTGAAAGGACATTTCTCAAGGGCCATGAGGATTTGCAGACCCCTCTGTCCTTGCGCCCGAACTCAGCACAGAGGCCAATGTTAGAAAACAGTGACTGGAAAACCCTTTTCCCTTATTCTGACTGCTGCCTCCTGACCCCAGGGGGCTGGCACTGCATTCCTCTCTGGCTCCAAACCAGTTAACTGTCTTTAGAGCTGACTTGGGCTCCTTATGTCATTATCGCTAAATATTCAAGCTGATATGGACCAAGAAATGGGGCCTGCAGAATGGCTATGGAGGCTGCAGCCTTCCAGGTTCCCCGTTAGTGCTGGAGTCCGGCCATCACACTTCCGGCATGGACACACCAGAAAGTTTTGAGCAAGATTAGGCTGAGGAGGCTTTGTGAGCAGTGGCCTCTCTGAGCAATGCCCTGGAGTCTGGGGATTCCCAGAGTCATCACCCTTCACGGAATGCCCGAGAGTGCTGTCCCCTGGGCTCTCCCTCCTTTCTCAGAGTCCAGAGGCTGTACCTCCTAGCACTGACCTTCCCCACTGAACTGGTGCAGTAGGCCCCTTTAGGCCAAGATGCAGGCCCTTTGTCTGGAGCTGGAAGTGGGGCCCTCACACAGAGGTCGGGCATGGGTAGGCTCTGCCTGGTGCCTGTGCCTTCCATTGATGCCAGCCCACAGGGGGAATGGGCCAAAGAGAAGAATGGAGGCCTAAGCGAGGACTGGGGGAGGGGATCCATTTCTTACACTAAATCGGGATATGAACCCTTCTGTTGGACTTGGTACAGAAACAAACACTGGAATGGGGTTCAGGAGCACCAGGACCTCTGTTCAGTCCTTCGGCCTTGCTCACGGACTCCCCAGGCTCAAATGGGGTGACTAGGGTCCAGGTTATCCTGGTAGAATGTGTGTGTCTGTCTCTGTCTGTCTTCCTGGTTCATCAATCTGCAGGCCCTGGCCATCACTCATCGTTTCAGAGAGACAAGATGGGCATCGTCTTGAGAAAACTGGCCTAAAACACACAGGTAGGATTTCTGGTCAGTTCTACCCATGTGTGCTGTGGGATTCCCTCTGAGAGGGAAAGTTAAATTAAGTTCTCATGGGGGGATGTTAATGAGTCCCCAGTACCTCTCAATAAGTCTTTCTCCTACCCACACCTGTTGAGTGGATAGATGTGCAGCCACAAGGTGGGACAGCTCCAAGCTGACTCCATGAAGATTCCAGTGTCTTTGGAATGGGAACTAATTTTTGGTGCTACCATCCTAACTCAGGCTCATGTCCACGTTGGGCATGTGCCCCTGTGTGCGTGTATAGCTTTCTCTCACTGACCCCCTGAAGGTAGATGTGGCAGCCACATCTTCCTCCTAATTTCAATAGGCAGAGAGGGAGCCTTTTTCAGGATTAGACAGGCATCTCAAGGAAGGCTCAGGGAAAGCCCTTTGCTGCCCTGGTCAGGCTCCCTTTGCTGGACAGAGCTGTGAAAGCTGCCCAGCCTTGGGGAACAGCTCCTTCTCAGGAAAGACTCTTCTTAGCAAACTCAGGAAGACTTCTCAGGAAGACTTCCTCAGGCAGACACCTCTCTTAGCAAAGGTCTTCCACCTTCCTCTGCTGTCCCCAGGCCATCCTCCCCCAAAAACATGGGCAGCAGGCAAGAGAGGGCCGAGGGGAGCACTGGGGTGCTGGCAGCATCATGCCCGTGAGCCCCTACAGCCAGAAACCCAGTAGGAAGGTCAGTGGACACGCGCTGTGTTTGGTCACTCCCCACAGCAGCATCTATTCATCTATCACCTCCAGAGAGTCCTCGTCCTTCGTCTCCTCTGACGGCTCCTCCGTTGTCTCCGTGTAGTCGGTGTCCGTCAGCGACGCCACCTGCCGCACCAAGTCCTTATTAATGGGGATCTCTGGCTGACATGGTCTGGAGAAGGGGTTGAGCCAGTTCAGGGAGAGGTCCCCACCAAAGGTCTCTTTCACCGACTGCCAGCTGCCTGTGTGCGTCCTGGGTTGATTCTTTCGTTTGAGGCGTTCAATGCCCTGGGGGGAGAATGAGACAGAGAAGGTCAGCATGGTGGGGCCGGGCACCTCCTGCACACACCTCAGCCATGGTATAGGAACACAGGGTCTGAGAGGGCACAGCCTGCTGTGGCTTGGATGGGCCCTGGGTGGGGAGTGGCGAGGAGCAGCGCAGCGAGCCAGGCCTGCTTCCCACCACCGGCCCTGCCCTTCCTACCACAGGTGCAAGGCCTCTGCAGGCATGAGCTGGGCACCCATTTGCTGAGACCACTGGCAAGGCTGACCCTCCTGAGCATTCTGGACCACTCCTACCAGGGTAGGAGCTGCAAACAGAGCATGAAGGAGGCTGAAGGGGTTAAGGGAGAGCATGGGGTACAAACAGCATGCCAGTGAAAAAGCAGACGCACGAGAACTAGTGCCAGCATGCAGCAGGCAGCTGGAGGGCACAGGGTGTCGCAGGGTCTGAGGGCTGGGGTCAGGCTTGCTCATGCAGTAGGCGCGCCCTGCCGCCTCTCCCAAGCTGCCCACTCACCTGCCTCTGGGTGTCAGCTGCGACTCAGCCACCAAGCCTCAGAAGGAGGGTGTTGGAGTGGGGGAGAAGCCCAAAGGAGTTAAAGACACAGCCAGGGCGTCTCTCCAGGCCCCCAACACCCTCCTCAGAGGCTTCTGACCCCCCCTTGGGGCAACTTCTTCTCCATCTCTTCTGGAAGCCAAGGGAAATTTGCTGTGGGTTTGTTGGTCACAGGCACTGCTCTTTCACATGACTTAAGACCACCTCAGAAAGAGCTCGGGGTACCTAGTTCTAGGTTTTCTTTTCCACACAAGATCCTTACATAACTGGTATAATCCTTTGTTATGCAGAAAGAGGAACTGAGGCACACAGAGCTGGAGACCTGACCATGCCCGGGTCAGTTCTTCTCCAGCACTCTTCCCACATCATCTCAGAGATTTTCCTCGAATTTCCAAAAAACTCCAAGTTAAAGAATCTGAACTCAAAGTATCTCTTCATCAGATACTAATTAATTACAAAGCTAAAAATAGTACCTTTACAGGAGGGTTAACTACTACTTCGATCACCTAATGATCAAAATTAACATCACCAACAATACCACATGCCTCCTGATACAGTGTACCAAGGACACTACATCCCAACCGGGGTGCTCCTGCCCCAAACACATGACCTCAGTGTGACTGTGAGAACATCTAACAGACACAAACAGAAGGAAGGAACACTGACCTGTAATCTTAAAGGGTCAAACTCGGAAGAAAAAGTTTTTGAACCAGATAGCAATATTAGCTTACAGCACTGGGAGTGCACTAAATGTATGCTTTAGAATGGCTCATTTTTCTTTTTTTCTTTTTTGAGACAGAGTTTCACTTTGTCGCCCTCGGGATAGTGCTGTGGTATCGCAGCGCACAGCAACCTCCATCTCTTGGGCTTAGGCGATTCTCCTGCCTCAGCCTCCCGAGTAGCTGGGACTATAGGCACCCACCACAACGCCCAGCTATTTTTTGTTGCAGTTTGGCTGGAGCTGGGTTTGAACCTGCCACCATCAGGATATGGGACCGGCGCCCTACCCACTGAGCCACAGGCACTGCCCTAGAATGGCTCATTTTATATGATTTCATCTCATTTAAAAATAAAGGACATGAAAGACAAAGGAAGATGGAGGAACTGTCACAAACTGGAAGACACTAAGTAGACATGTGCGATCCTGGGGATCCTGGGATGGAAAAGGACATTGGTGGGGCAGCGGGAGAAATCTGAGTTAAGGTGTACAGATGCGTTAGTAGTGCTGTGTCAGAAGTTCCCGGGGTTTTGTATTTGCACTGTGGTACTATAACATGTTTAGCTTTGGTGAGGCTGACTAGAGAGTATGTGGGAAATCTTTGTACTGTTATTGCCACTTTTTGGTAAGTCTGAAATTATTATACAATAGAAAGTTAAAAAATAAAAAAAATTGCCAATAACATGAGACACAAAGATTTGTGCAATACAAATGTGAACAATGACAAAAATAAGAAGCTGGAAACCACCCAAAGTTCTAATAATGATGGCAAAGTCAATAATTCAACAAAGCACAACTCTATGCAGCTATAAAAAAATGGTGTTAATACAGTTTTACGTGGCACTGGAAGACCTGTCTGTGTGGTTACCTTTGGGGATGGGATTTTAGACAATTTGTTTCTTTTTGTAGACTTCTCACACTTTCTAAGTTTTCACCAATGAGCAGGTATTACTTTAATAATGAGAACAAAAAAGGCTGTTTTAGAAAATGGAGTTCGTTGACACAAGTCTTGAGGGACCCTCCTGTGGGCCATGGGCACAGGATGCTACACTGGTCCCTGAATGACCCAGGTCTCCCTTCTTAGCAGAAGCAGCAATGACCAACCGAGGTAACTTGCTTTGGGGAGCCTGCGTCCCTTCCTGGGTGATCATCTGTAGGCTGTCAAGAGATCTTCTTTAATTTTTTTTTTTTTTTTTTGAGACAGAGCCTCAAGCTATCCCCCTGGGTAGAGTGCCATGGCATCACAGCTCACAGCAACCTCCAACTCCTGGGCTCAAGCGAGTCTCCTGCCTCAGCCTCCCAAGTAGCTGGGACCACAGGCGCCCGCCACAACGCCTGGCTATTTTTTGGTTGCAGCCGTCATTGTTGTTTCGGCGAGCCCAGGCTGGATTCGAACCCGCCTACTTAGGTGTATGTGGCTGTCACCTTAGCCACTTGAGCCACAGGCTCTGAGCCAGAGATCTTCTTTAATTTGACCCCATGAGAGCTGGGCCATTACCATGTGGCACACCAGGCTATAGAGGAGACACTCAGAAGTGATAGATTGGCTGTATCCACACTGACTGGGACTCATCAGTCTGCAGGGCTCCTTGTAAGGAGGTGTGCATTAGTACTGACACTTGGCGATGGGGAAAAGAGCTTCCAAGAGGCCATGCTAGCGGCCAAAGTTCATCTTTGTAGACTTTATACAATAGAAAGTTAAAAAATAAAAAAAATTGCCAGATTTTGGTTATGCAGCAGAACTGGATTAAAATGAATGTCTTCTCTCCGTATTTCCAGCTCTAGTGCAAACCTCCACCCTGTGCTGAGCTCCAAGTCAGAGGAAAGCTGGAGAGGAATGAAACGAGAACCCACAGGATTGCTATTTTCCCCTCATGTGGCACGTTCCCAGAGAAGCACTCTTGGACTTCACGCAAAAGTAATGAGCATATGTGATACTTCTATGATGTGCTAAACTCAACAAGGTCACACAGCATTCCAGGCAGAAGCTGGCCTGTCTGCCAAAGTTCCTCAGTAGTTCATCAGATGAATGTTAAAGAAGCATCAACTTTGAGTCTGGAAAGGAGAAAATATTCCAAATGTCTGATGTGTAAAAGGGCCTCAGGGATGTTTTTGTTGGGTAGGACTCAATTTTGAATTCTATGTGCAATTAGTCGTGTCCTGAAGGCAAAGTTTTGAAGCTTGAGGTTTGCAGAGGAGCAGTAATACCCTCTTTAGCTCAAGAGAACCCAAACAGTTGATTCCTGGTAAGCAGGCAATGGCTTACACCAGCACCTCTCACAGGGTGTGTGTGGCCTCAGCATCTCAGCCCAACTTTGCCTGGGTAACACATGAACTGTGATCTGTGAACAAACCCATCAACACACAGAAATGGATGCATGAGGACTAAGGCTGCAGAGGGAGGCAGATATCCAGGAATGTGCTCTGCACAGAGGCAGCTGGGACCACAGAACGAGAGGCTGTCTCCCTGCTCTGCACATCGTCAGATGGAGTCAGAGCCCATGCAAATGTGCCTGTTTGTAGCTGGCCAGATAGCACGTCTCTCTTCATCGTGATTTCACACCTTCACACTGTAGCCCAGAACATATGTGCACGTACATGCTGCCAAGTTTCATGAAACAATACTTATCCTAC